GTACCAGGCCGTGGCCTATTAGGAACTGAGTTGCACAGCAGGAGGTGAGTAGCAGGTGAGACAGCGAAGCTTCATCTGTACTTGCAGCCGCTGCCCAGCACCAACCAGCATCACCGCCTCAGCTCTGCCTCAGATCATCAGGCATTAGAACCTCATAGAAGCACTGACCCCTGCCTGGTGCCAAAAAGGTTGGAGGCCACTACTATAGACAGCGTCTCTCAACTTCTGCTCGGGCCCGGCAGTCAGGTGAGCTCAGTCCTCCTTGGGGGCTCTCAGTCCCAAGTGCTGAACCAGAGTGCCTCTGGCAGAGTCTGGCTCCTTGGTCTGGTAGTGTCCGCTCCCTTGCTGGATGGGATACAAATCCCAGGGCTTCCAAGGCGTCAGGAAGGCTTTGCTGATCCTGCATTTACTGACACAGGATGAACTCTGAAGGAAGGAGCTTACCCAAAGTGAGCCCCGCTGGGGAGCTGGGCCGGCAATGAAATGAATGAAGAAAAAAAAAAGAAACAAACGAAACTGTGCCAGGAAGATCACGAAGGTTACCTTATGTCACCCTTTCAATAACTGTGCCAAGTGGGATTTTTACAGGTCATTATGTTCCTCGTTTAGATGGGATAATGGAGACTTAGATGAGAAAGTAAATTCCACTAAAATGTAAGCTCCATGAGGGCAGAAAACTTGTCTATTCTGGTCACCGTTGTATACTCAGAGCCCAGGACAATGTCTGACACACAGCAGTTGATCAAGAAATACTTGGCAATGGAATGGATGAAGGCAGAGCCATGATCTGAATGCTAGTCTCTTCATCATGCTTTCAAATTCACGTTGTGAGCGCCTCTGGCAGAGGCCGTGCTGAGCCATTGGTGCCTGTACGGAGCCAGAGCATATGGGAAAGCGGTCCACCCCGCGGCATGTCACATGCACACCCACTCAGAACTGTGGCCTACCCACTTGGCCAAGGTCAGACATGCTGCTCTGTTCCCAAGGGCAGATGTCCTCCCTTGGGACCAACTGTACCCAGAGAACAGTCCAAACCAAAGGGGCTGACACCTTCTTAGGGAGGAGGCCAGCGTGGCTGGGCCAGTTTGACTTTCTGGCCAATCGGTGAAGCACAGTGTACCCCAGCGCTGCCTTAGGGAACCATGTGTCAGTGGGCACCAGCATGCAGTGCGAGTGAGCTGTCTAACCAAGCTGGGCTCTTGAAGGAGGCCCGGTCTCTTGAGACAGCTGCTTCATCAACAGACAGAGAAGTCACCGGCCCCATTCTGACCTGTCGCGTGCCATTGCAGAAACACTCCAACACCAGTGCCAAGTCACAGAAAGGGCATCTACTCTAGAGGTGAATGAATCTGGCTTAGAATCTCAGCTCCCCTAGTTGTGGGACCTGAGACAAGGTTCTTCACCTCTCTGAGCCTCAGTTTTCTCTTCTGTAAAATGGGAGTAAAAGAGTAGAGATTTTTAAAATTAGAAAGAATGTATTGGATGGAAATGCAGAGAAAAAAGTCTGGAATGATAAATACAAAATTCCTACCAGTAGTTGTTTCTGGGGACTGGATAGAGAGAAGGAAAGAGAACTTTTATGAATATACTGTATTCTTTAAGGAAAAAATATATGAAAAGTACCGAGCTCAATAGCTGGGATCCTGGCAGGCATTCAATAAATGTGGGCTGCTGTTACGCAGTTCTCCTGGGAGAATGAGATGCAGCCACTCTCACACGCCTGCCTACGTCCTAGAGAACTATGGGCTGCCATTACCCATCATGCCTTCTCCTCCCTTCCTAGCCACCGAAGACCAGGAGCCCCAGTGCAGGTCACCAGCACCAGGACAGCACATCTCAGAACTGAAATGATACTGAAAAGGTCTCATTTATTCACTTATTCTGCCTTTGAATACCTAACACAGAGTTATTTGTGTTAGCTCTGCAGGCCCTGTCCAGTGGTGAGGAATGCATGACCTTATAAGGCAGCCCATTGCACCAGCGGGATGACTTCCAGGGCTCGAGTGGGTTAAGACCCCTGGTTCCTCTGACCATGACCCTCAGCCTTCAGGCTCACAGCTCTTAGCAACTAGCGGCCTAGCCCTTCCTAGTGGGAAAGCCCCTGGTGGACTGACTCTGCCTGGGTGGACAACACAGGAATGCATGCCAGTCAACACCCACCTAATAAGAAGCATCTTCCCACACCTCCGCTGCTTCTACCCATTTTCTCCCACCCCTAGTAGGAGATGCCTGGCACCTCTCCTAAGAATCCAAAGCTAAACAATTCCCTCCTGCCAGAAGGCAGTCAGCTAGCTCGGTTGCTATGCAACTGGCAGGCACAAAAGTGATGTAGTCCTTTTCAGAGGCTTGGGAAGGGGGGCAGGAAGCCAGTCTCTCCAACTCACAGCCTCTAACCGGCTCCAAGGCAGTAGGAGGTCCCCTTTAAGGAATCAGTTGATGGATTCACTCATCTAATTCCCCCTTGCTGCTGGCATCAGCAGCAGAAACTCCAGGCACACTGTGAACTGCATGCAAATCCATAGCCCCGCTCTAGCTCCTGGGGCAGCAGCTTTGCACCAACTTCGGAAGGGCATCCTCCAGGCGCTCCAGAGGCACCCTGTGAGGCTGACCCACAGCTTGGCCTCTCCCTCTTAAGCTTTGCTGGTATTTGGAGCAGGAGGCATTCATGGCCCCAAACAGACATGCATCCAAAAAGGCGTGGAGCCAGTACAACCGTGTCCCCTCTATCTAGCCTGCTCTACAGAGACCTAGTTTCTACTCTCTACCCCCGGGGAGGGCTCTGGGGAGACAGGCTGGTCGAGTGGTAGAAAGCCCGCATTCTGCAGTCAACAAATCTGCATTCAAAACCTGGCTGTGCTGCACGCTAGCTGTTGCCTCAGACAAGTATTTAACCTCTCCGGGTCTCAGTTTCATCATCGTGAAAACAAGATAATGATACATACCTCTTCGGGTGCTTGTGAAGGACAAACGAGGCAGTATTTGTAAAACAAGACCTGGTTCAGTGACTGGCGCAGCCATCTGAGTAAATGCGCCACCACGACACCCCGGTTCCAGGACGGTCCAGTCTGGAGTCGGCCCCGCCCAGCATGTGCACCCCTCCGCTTGCTGCAGCCCACTCACTGTATTACAGTTATGAAGTGACTTCTTCCTCACCAGCATACATGCTCTTTCACAGGCAGAGCCCTTGTCTTCAACCAGCTCTGTGGCCCTCTCAGTAAACAACAACAAAAATAACAGTAACAACACAACGTCCAGCAGAAGGTGAAGGAACCCGGCACTGAACTGGGGGTCGAGGACTAGAGGAACTCCGGAGACCCATTAGGTAGGTACTTCCCAGGACTGGCCACGGACTGGCTACCGTTTCCATCTCCGCACATGAAAGCAGAAACACTCCTACTGGGCCTAAATTCCCCAAGGATTTTAATATCTAAGGATGAAACTACTGTAAATGTAATTCTAGAGCTCATTTTCTCAATGTTGCCCTTCAACTTAGAGAATAAAAAACAGGAAGTCGGTGGATTCATTGTTCCCTCTCCTCCAGGCTCCCTTAGAGCAGTACCCAAAAGGTTTTCCTGAACGACTACTACATACCCAGTATCCATGGAGATTATGGAAGGACGAAGCGGTTTCCTTAAAGCCAGTTTTTCCAAACCTATGAGCTGAGGGTAAGCGCTGGGGCGATGGAGGCCGTGGGCCACATACAGGGCTAGAGACAGAGACAAACATTCCCCAAGGGCTGAGACCCTGCGCCAGATTTGCCCCAAGTACTTCGTACACACAGTCCCATTTAATACTCACAACTACCCCCTGGGGCAGAAAACAGTGTGCCCATTTTACAGAATGGGAAACTGAGGCTCTGGAATGTTAACTATTTCGCCGAGGGCCACAGGGCAAAGGTGAAATTCTTGACCTTGCTCCAAAGCCGGTGCCCTTCCCTCTGGCCCAAGCTTTGCAGAATGAAACCCCCAAAACCATTCTCCATGCTTTTTAGGACCCCCAAATAAAGAAAGGCTTCTATAGGCTGATTAAGGGTGTATTCCTAAAATAACACCAGAAATCATTCACAAATTTTTATAGTGCATTAGAGTTTAAAGAATTTTTCAAATATGATTAGGCCTTCAGGACCTTTCTTAATGGGAGGATAGCTATTAATGTTCCATTCTGCAGATGTGTAACCGGAGGGCCACAGAGGGTTGAGACCTTGTTGAAGCCACAGGGTAAGACTGTGGCAGAGTAAGTCTCCCCAAGATTCCTGATAGTCTACGTGCTGCTTTGAAAATACTGTGAGCAGCCTCCTTGCAGTCCTTACCCTCCTTTACGCTGACAGGTCCAGAGCCTTCCAAACCAGGGTGTCAAAGAAAGCTGGAGCCAATGAAGATGACCGCTCAAGCATCAACATTCATTTTAAATACTTCCCACATGGCCCTCCCGAGGCACCAGGTACCAGAATAAAGCCCAAGATAGAACAGGGTTCACGGCAGACAAGATGCTCATACTCAATTGAGAGAGCCTGGGACAAGACAATTGACCCTATCCTGCTTCCTTATCAGTGAAATACAAGTACCTGTTGAGAGCTGATAAAAGGATCAAGAACTTATGAATCACTTTCAGCTCTACCTAAGATTTACGAGTACTATGAAAACAGAGAACTACTGAATTCAAGGTCACCTATCCCTCAACTGCTCACGCCCCAAACCTAAGTGTTGTCCTCAATTATTTCCCATGCCTTACACTCTACATCCAACCCATCTGCCTCCAAAATAGCTCCACTACCAGAACCCTAGTCCCAGACACCTTCACCACTCCCTGGTTAACTCCAACAGCCCCACTGGTCTCCTTGCTGCCTCCTCTGTCCCTCTGTGGGCCATCATCCATGCAGCAGCTTGAAGACTCCTCTCAACCATAAATCAGATCCTGTCGCTCCACAGCTTAAAACCTTCATTACACTTGGAGTACAACCCAACGTCCTTACCAGAGCCTCTATGACCCTGGTAACTTGGTGTGACCTCTTGATCACACCATCCTCTCCTCTCAACACCTCAGCCACACTGGCCTTATTTCTCATCCTCGACACACTAAGCGCATACTTATCTCAGGGGCTTTGCACGTGCTGCTCCTTCTACTTGAAGTCTCCTCTCCCAAAATGCTGAAGGACTGCCTTCTCATCACTAAGCCTCAGCTCAAATGTCGCCCCTTCTGAGAAGCCTTCCCCAATCACCCCAGTAAAATCCATGACACACCACATGCCCACCCTAACTCTACCACACTATCCCAGTTTATCTTCCTTGTAGCACTCAGTAACTAGAATTTTCTTATTCGTCTACTTGCTTATTTTCTGGCTCCCCAGAACTACAATATAGGTTCCGCTATTCTTGTTCAGTATTGCACTCCCAGCGTCCAGAACAGTGCTAGGCATATAGTAAAATTTCAATAAACATTTTGGGAACGGTTGGTCCAAAAGACAATGGTATGCTCCCCTAGTCCTCAAGACGGTGATTCTACCCCATCTGCTCAAACTGAGATTGGAAGTTTTGTTTACTCATCCATTCAATCATTCATTCATTCACTCAATTCAAATCGACAGTTGACTATAGGACACTTGAGAGGGTACCACAGTGAACATGTAACCAGAATGACCTGTTTCACAATTCAAAGATTTTTTTTACATGGTACTTTATAGAGGCACTTTTAATTTCTGCCAAATGTCAGACTTCTTTGAGTTAAATGCCATCTCAGATTTACCTACAAGTGGTTACATGGCTTCCTCAAGGTCACATGATGAAAACTCAGCACCCCAATACTCAAGGTAAAACCAAAACCTAAATGTATTTGCAAGTGCCCAACCCCTTTCTTTAATTATTCATAGTCATTTGCACAAAAATGATAAAAACCAGAGAGTAAATTAAACATGGCTTTTCAAAATTTTCACCTAAATTTCCTTCATTCTGTTTCTAATTTTACTATCTAATAGCAAATCCTGTCAAATGATAGAACGTTTTCAACTTTAAGAGCACTGTTCTCAGGTTATGGAGCATTAATGGTACCCTGGCCAACAGGCTGAATCTTGATTCCAAAGGGAAGCAGTATAGTTAGTGCAAGGGCTAGAACCTCAGGCTTTGGAACAGAAAGGTGCAGATTCAAATCAAATCTGCTAGTGGTAAGGCCCTAAGCAAGTTAATTTTGTTTTACTTAACCATAATATCACACTTACCAGATGCAGACAGGATTCTAAGTACTTTGCAGTTACAATACTATCATTAGATAAGTCAGATCTACTATTATCCGTATCTTATAGGTGAAGAAACAACACAGAGAGGTGAAGTAACCTGCCCAAAGTCAAAGCCAATGAGTATGAGAGTCAGCATTCAAATAAGGTAGTGTGATGCAAGACCCACACTCTTAACCATTACACTACATTTCTGCTCTAATTCTCTTTCTTCATCTATAGGACAGAGCTGACTGGTCTGCCTTATCTCGCAGGGTCACATGAAATTACTGGCACACAGTAAGATAAACATTAGCTACTCTTGGTGATAGTAGTAATTGCCATCACTCTATTAATGTACCTTCACCTTTGGTCTAGCCCAAGGCAGAAGAAAAATATTTTGACTGAAGATCTCCAAGGTTCTCTACAGTAGAATACATTGGAATATAGTGGAAGCTCCAGGAGAACAAGAATTGTCTGTTTTTGCTTGTCATTGTATCTACAGTAAACAGTGGGTGCTCAGCAAATATGCGGTGAATGAGGTAGGAAAATTTTATGCATGGACAGGGTTATGCAGACATGACAGCTAAGATAGTATCATCACCTCTTAAATGGAGCTAAACACAAAAGAGGTAAATTTATAAGGTTTTCAGAGGACTGTGTTAGCTGGCCGTTATTTAACGTAGACAGCCTGGCTACTGGGAGGCAGTGTGGTATAATGGTGTTCATTCACCTTAGCTAAATGAACAAACATAGAGACCTGAATATTAGTCCTGACTGCTACTGGAAGTCACCGGGGTTCTCACGGTCTTGGATTATCTGTCAAAGAGGAAGTCGGACTACCAGATCATAAACAAATATATTCTACTTTCTCATGACTTTAGAACAGTCATCATAACAATCTGAATGGATGGAAATCACCGAGTACTCAATAAACATGTCAATGAATGTGCTCCCCAATTGACAGATGAGGAAACCAGGATACAGAAGTAACTTGCTCAAGGTCACAGGGTCAAGGGAGAATATGAACTATAGCCCAGATCTCTTTCTATTCCCAACTAACACTCATGCTTTTGAAGACCCTTTTTCAGTTCAAAAACACTGTGATATCTGCTTTTCCAAGTTCAATAAACCTGTAATCGCTACCAAATAATCATCTTATTAATAATCTTGCCTGACTTCACTACATCATGGGATAGCAGGATTAGGAAGAAACAACTACAGTATTTCTACATTGTCAACCTAGAGACTCAAAAGATCTATAGAAAAAATTAGGGCAAATTCCTCGTCTTTGCCCAGAATTGAGAGATCAGAAGTGTTTTAAGATAAATGATGATTTCACTTTAACCATAAGGTTTAAATTTAAGAGAGGAAAAAAACTTCTAGTAACACAATGCTTCCTGAGTACAGCATATAACACCTTTAAAATTCTTTAATCAACGTTGTGCCACTTGAATCAAAGTAGATTCACAAAGTTAAATGTAAAAAGTTGTCAAGAATATCTACCAATTCTTGCTTTATTTTTATTAACAAAATACATGCTTGACACTAAACCTTTCAGTATAAAACCTTCCTAGGATTGTCAAGTTGGGAATAAAAAAAGTCCATCTGGCAGTCACAATTTTCTAGATGGTTCATAACAGGAGAGTCAAGGTCAAACTGTCATGTCTCTTTACTCTCCCATCTAGTAATTGAAAAGTAACTAATAGTGAGCTCAAAATACTCCATTCTGGTACTCTCACGAATACGAATGTTAGCTCAAGGATCACACTCTGGCTCAGAAAGTTCTGTGAGGGCAGGCTGACATGAGGGCAAGGAGAAAAGAGGGGCTGTAAGTTGGGCAGATGTTTAGGTCATTTCGGTGACAGCAGTTAACTTTCACTTACTTTCATTACCTGTCAAATAAGATTAATCATCTCATCAGATGGTTATATGACTCAAAATAAGGTAAAGAATTAAAAATCCTTCAATCTTACGCAAAGGTGAGTCTCTACTGTTATTACTATTTACTATATCCGGGGCTGGATAACCCCCGCCCCCATTCTTGGCTATCTGTTCCGCAGCATCCCTGAAAGATGGAACAGGAGGATACTTTCTTCTCCAGACTCCAGGCCTAGCAACAGTAGATACACCTGGATAGCAAGTCTCTGCTGCTGAGAGATGAGAAGTGAGGACTTCAGGCGCTGGGCCCAGCGGGCTCACCACCGACCATACGCCCAGTCACCTTGTCCTAACCTTGAGGAACGTAAAGAAACCCTACGGAGAAGGGGAGTGAGGTCGCCAAAAAGGAGAAAAGGTGCATCCACTCTCCAACCGGCCGCCGCTGCTTGGATCCACGCTTCCCACGGGGCGGGGACAGGGCTGGGAGAACTGACTGCGCCAGGGTCTCCTTGACCTCGGGCGCCGGAGGATCGGGCACGGGCGCAGGGCCCACGGTCGGGAAATGTATACAAAAAGTCACCGAAGGTCGGGCCCGCCTCCCCTCGCCGCGCCCACAGCCGCAGGCACAATTGGAGGTAACCCGCCCCCGTGAACCCAGAAGGCCCTGAGCTCGCTCACCTGCAACCGGGTCACCAAAAGGCTGTAAGGCGCCATTTTGTGCACTGACAAAGATGAGGTCGCGCGAAAGTGACGTGACGCACGGTCTATTTAAAGCCTTCGGGCAGGGGCGCGGCCTAAAGAGAGACGTCACGGGGAAGGCGGGGCCTCCGCAGAGGCGCCAGAGCACTGAGAGTGCAGTGGGCGGAGCTACCGCGTTAGGAACCCACACGGAAAAAAGCTGCATAAGAGCACTTACGGAGGTAAATATCGCACAAAGATATCTTATCGAAGTGCAGATGTCACCTTTGTACTTTGGATTTGTCTCTCCCATTCAAATCGGGGAAAGGCATTGTTTTATTACTTGAATGCTCCTGCCAGGACCTGGCTCCCCAGCTATCACAGAAACTCAACTTTGGAATTTAGGGGTTTTGATCGCGCGAGAACGACCGGGTCTTGGTGCAGAGATTATGAACGCTGATGGAAGCCTAGGGGACCAATCACGGCGACAAGGGGGAGGGTACAAAGGGGGTTAAAGGTCGGACGGAAGTCTCGAAGCTTCCGGTGGCCCTCTCCAGTGCGAACTATGGCTAAACATCATCCGGACTTGATCTTTTGCCGCAAGCAGGCTGGTGTTGGTGAGACGGCTTCCATGCCTGCGGCTCTCTGGGTTGGGGTAGTATTAGGAGCTGGAGGTTCCTGGGAGTTGGGGGTTCCCGTCTCTTCTTCGGGTTTTACTTTGAAGATGCCACATTTCCCGCCTTACGGTGGTATAGGAGCGCGCGGGTTTGTGGCCTGTGATGAAAAGCGGTGACGCGCGTGCTGGGACCCAGAGGCGGGCGGGCGGCCGGGGAGGGGTCCAGAGAAACTCTGAGATTGCCCAGGACCTGGAAGGAGCTTCAGGAGGGTGTGGGTTTGGGAAGTTTATGGGGAAAAGAGAGATAAGATCGCTCAGGACTTACTGTAGTCTCTGCTCCTGTCCCCCCATTCCAAGATCGAGGATGTTTTTCCCCCTCTTCGTCAGAACCTTAATTCTAATTGTACTCTTTACTGTCTTTGATCTTGCAGCCATCGGAAGACTGTGTGAAAAATGTGAGTGGATCACGCCCTCCTGAACACCCCACCCCTCCCACTCAGTTTCTGTGGAGTCAGCAAACGAGCATTTCCTGTAGTACCACAGAGGGCTTTGAGTCGATGTGCCCGGAAACATATAAACACTGAATGCCAGACTGCAATCGAAGGCCCCCCTGCACGTCCCCACTCCAACTTGCACATTTTTAGACACTGTGTTTAGGTTTTGAGAAAATCTCTAGCTTTGGACGGGAAGTAGCATGACCTGGTCTCCAACACACATTTTTGCCAGTAATTATATAGACTTATCTACCAAGTGCTGTTGTAAGCTCTTTACATGTTGATTAACTTTTCCTATGTGTTGTGGGGATGGACACTAAGTAAGCCAAGTTTTGTGATGCCAAAGTAGAGGGACCTAAAGTCACATTCAGGAGACTAGTGTGTTTCCCCATAGTAGGAAGAGGGCAGAGGACTTGAGGTCCTTGCAAGTGGGCATAATTCCATTCTCTTTTCCTCACAGGTGATGGCAAGTGTGTGATCTGTGATTCCTACGTGCGTCCCTGCACCCTGGTGCGCATATGTGATGAGTGTAACTATGGCTCCTATCAGGGGCGCTGTGTGATCTGTGGAGGCCCCGGAGTCTCCGATGCCTATTATTGTAAGGAGTGCACCATCCAGGAGAAGGATGTGAGTGTATTCTAAGCTTTCTATCTGATCTTTTATTTGAAAACACTTTGCCGCCCATGGCAAACTCCTATGGACTGTGGAGATTACTATGTTCAGCTAGTCACCTAGGTTATAATTTCAAGTTCTGTGAGCTGAACTGGGTGTAGCCCATTAAAAGGCAGTTATTTTCAGTCAAGGGCAAAAATGCAAGAGAAGCAAATCTTTGTAAACACCAGCAATTTGGAGAGCCTTCTCTCTATTCCTTTGATGTCTCTCTGATTATTTTTATTCAGAAACAACATCCTGCATTTTGTAAGCCCTAGTACAGTGCATGGTGTGTAACAGCCATTCAGTAATTCTCTTTACTGTCATTAAGGACTTTAGGCAGATGCGACATTTGAATATGAGACAGTTCAGGTTGATTTCAGCTTTTAAGTGGCTAATGCCTTTGGTTTATTACTGTAGAATTCATTGATTCTGTCTCATGATATTTTGCCCCTTGATATTGCGTGGTGGCAGTGGCTAGTGAGTCAGCTCGTTGAACCAAATGCAGGATAGAGGGCTTATCGATCCATACCATGTGAAGGGTGAGTTTTACCATTTTTCTTTAGCAGACTTCTTGGGGTGAGGGACAGTCCCATGAATCAGCTTGTTTTCTTATAATATAAGAAAAGGAAGTGTGATACAGTACCAGTAGGCTAACAGAAGGTATCCAGCTACCGAATCTAGGATAATGCAAAAGATATAATTCTTCATATTCCTATGATAGAGAGTAGATAGTTTATAGATGTAGTCTCCCTTATTCTTCACATTAACTTTGTTAAATAGGGATTATTATTACCCCATTTTACAGTCCCTCACCCAGCTAATACGTGGCAAGCCCAGATTGTCTGGCTAAACCTACTGGTGTCCCCATTACACCAAGTTGTGCTTTTATAAACCCTTTTGGTAGGATGTGCCTGTGTTGAGGAGAAACAGCCCAGCATCTCAGTGGTCTGTGTGTTTGGATCCTGTCTACCCCCAGTAAGTGGGACAAATCAGGCCAGATAAAACTTTTTTTATACTATTAAGTCTTCTATTATTTAGGGAGATGAGAAGAGTCATAGATAAAGTATTAATAACTTCGGTCATTGATTTGAACTTTCTTCTGTCCTAAACTCTGATTTGCATTTTACCTTTGACTGTCAAATCATATCCTGCTTGATCTGATCCACCAGCTACACTCCTTTAGAGAAAGGACCTTGGTTGTGTCTTGGTATCTCCTTTTCCCCACTTCTTGGTACAGTGCCTGGCATGTAGTGTAAGAATGGTACACATTTTGGTGCTAATCCTATACGTCATCCAGGGGAGCTTCGCCTGCAGAGTGTCTGGTACATAGTAGATGTTTGGTAGTTGATAAGCAGTGAAACCAGGGTAAGATGACAGCAGTGAAGAGCAAGTACAGATAATTCTTAAACTTGCTAAAGAGTCCATTAAGGCCATTTTCTGGAACTGTTCGCATGATTGTAGCTAGAGTCCTTATCTGGCATAAGCTTACAACCAAGGAGTGCTTAATGAACATTAATTTCTGTCTGACTCGTCTGCCTGTGGTCTGTGACCTGATACTTTTGGATCCTCGTGCCTCATTTTGTCTCTGAACATTATTCTAGATGTCACTTCCCCTACTTCACATAATACAAGAATGTTCTAAGGATATTTGAGAAGGCACCTAGCTCACATTTACTCAGCAATAGTTTCCAAGGAACAAAAGCAGTCCAGTGATATGATCCAGCCTTTCAGCCTGACGGATCATCATACAGATTAAGTGGCTAAGACTTTCCTATGCAGAAACCTTCCCAACCAAAACAGCCCCCATTATTTTCCTATTCCTTCAACTTTCATCATTTTTAAGGACAATAGACCAAGAAACTAAGTCGAGTGTTCTCTATAGTTTTTCAGAGTTTCAGGAGTATTCAGGAGTCTGGGATAATATCTGGGTGCTGCTGCCAGAAGACCAATTTGTAGTTATTTCTAGTGCAAAATCATTTTGATCCCCTTCAACTTTTGATTCCTTTACTCCTTTTGCTTAACCGTTTTCCTCAGCTGTCCCAACCGGAAAGCAAAAATAGCTAATATTTACGGAGCTCTTGCTGTGTGCCAGGTACTGTGCTGAACATTCTGTTCCAAAAATTCTATATGATATAGATGACAGTAAGGCTCAGAGATGTTAAGCAACTTGGTTCCAGGTCACATGAGTAATAAGTGGCAGATCTGGGACTAAAACCCAGGTCTATCTTACTCAGTGTTTCTCAACATTTCTTTCTATTATTGCCTCCCCCAAGGACCAAGGAGAAAAGTTAAAATTTACATGAAATGAAACTAACGGTTTTCTCCCTAACAAGAGGAATTAAACACCAAGGAACAAGATTTTGTTGGGTATGGATGAGCTTTAGATGACAGACTACTACGACATTAAAGATATTTTTATCCCCCCTGAGAATGCACAGTCTAACTCAAAGCACTTTACTCTAATCACTGCACCACATGGTTAAGGCTGTGCCTGTCTCTCTTGCTATTTCTACCATTCTCTTCTTCCCATTAAAAATAAACAGCAGAGCCAAAGGTATTTGATAGATTAATGCAAAAGATATTTGATACTTTTCAAAGTTAATTAGCAAATTTATCATTCTCTTTAACTGTCCGAACCATAGGAAGGTTTTGGTTCTTGCCTTCGGAAGCCCTGTTAGAAAAAATATGAGACCAGAAGTCAAAAAGCCTGTTCAAATCTTGGCTTTGCTGGTAACACGCTGTGTGTGGCTTTGGAGAAATATCCACAAAAAAGAAGTAGTAATCCTTATTACCTCATGAATGTATTTACTGAGAGCTTAAAGGACTTTAAAAGCAAAGTTTCAGATAAAAAATGTGATACTACTCCCAGCATTCAGTCTGTTTTTTACATCATTGGTATTCTTTAAACAGTTGCTGAAAGAATGAACATTTCACCTTCAAGTTTCTGTTAATAAAGCAGAAATTCTTTGCTACGATTTGTAAGAAACAGAGATGGACCCATTTTCAGTAATTGTATTTTTCTGATCTTAAAATTTTGAAATTGCCTTTTCCTGCATTTCAGTTCTATACAGATTTCCCATTGGTCTTTTATATTTTGGTACATGATTAGTGTTAGTTTTCAAGTTTTACTTGAAAGTCCTGAGTTTCACCACTGTTAAGAGGGTAATTTTTGTAGCTTGCTTTCCTGCCGTAGAAATGGACTTGACACACAGCCCTCCTCAAGAAGGAAGCCGAAGGCACAGAGTTTGGTTTCGACAGAAGCCCAGCTTAGGGTACTCCTGGTGTCGTGTTAGTGGGAATGTTTAATTAGTATAATGGAAACAGAGACCGACAGAGGAGGAAACTTAGCATTCACACATACAGTTGCTAAAGGAGCTGCTGCCATGAGGCCGACATTTGCAGGTATTTTTAAAATAACTTCTGGCTCAACACCCGAATATTCTCCTGTACCATCCTCCAAAGTTTCTGAAGAGTCCTTCCACCTTCCTGTCCATGCTCTCCATTCACAGGCATACCCAACAAAAGCCTTCCAGGTCCAGTGCTCACATCCTCACCTCTCACTTTGGGAACAACCACGAGACCCGTGGGAGATGCATAGAAAGTGAAAAACGGGAGGATGGGCAAGAAAACAGGAAACCTGTGAGTCAGAGAAAACGCTATAAAAGCCGAAGATCTAATAATCCAATGCATTGGCCGTCTAACTTTTTTTTAAATATGTAGAGTCCTATTTTCAAAGAAATATTTTATGCAGAACCTGTGCGTCTGTTTATATCATTATGAAATTGCTGATATTTGCTTTTGGCAATTTCTTATAACATTAAAAACTAATTATATGCCTGGCACTGTTCTAAATATATTTATTGATTCTTAATTCTAGGGGGTAGAATCTGTCATTGTAATAATAATTTTACATGTGACTAAAAAGAGACACAGAGATTAATAACTTATCAAAATTCAGGCAGCCTAGCTTCCAGAGCCTGCTAACCTAAACTGCCAGTGAGAACATATTGGGGGTGGCACCTCTCAGGACTCTCTAGGGCTCTATATATAGTTTGTAAACATTGACCAGTCCCTTTATTTTACAGTTGAGGAATATGCGTCCGAAGGGGAGTGCCTTGCCCACAGGCTATCATCATACCATAGGATTTCGTAGCATCTCTAAAGGTCTTAGGGCATGTTGTGTTTAATATCAGGCTACCTTGGGCCACGAAGAGGCAGCCGTTTCCTCATTTGTACCAGGACTTTGAATACAGATTATATGGCTAGAGTTCACCTAGCAAGCCATTATTAGGGCTGGGCCCACATCCTGGTTCCCTGAGCACGTCAGACTCCACAGATGGTAGTTCCCAGTGTAATACATGGTATATGTTTTCTAGAAAAAAAAATGTTGCGTTGACTTTGTACGTTTTCAGAGATTCTTGTACAGTGTTCATATCAGTCCCTGAGAAGAGAAATCAGCTGAATTAGAAATGAGATAATCTTAAAGGATTGATGAATTCATTCTACGGCCCAACAGCACAGGAAGCAACCTCCTTTGACATGGATGTTTAATAAAATCATCAGACCTGTGAAGGTTTTTTCCAGTAGCAACCCCAGTTTTCTTCCCATCATCCCAGATCAACTGATAGAGTCATCTTTTCTGAAGAACACAGCTTCCCAGAGGCTTCACTGAAACCATTCAAGCTCACAAAATGGCCAGGGAGCATGTCATTGCAAATCAGAGTATGGACCATCAGCAGCCATCTCTAGCATAGGAACACACTTGCCCCCAAGACCATGTGTCACATTAAGCAAACTAATAAGGGCACATCAAACCCAATATTCTGTGGTATTTAAAATGTAAGGTGCTGTTTCCTAAAGTGTTTAGGTTCTCCCCTTTTCTTGGGATAGTGGAGGAGAGCCAGAGAGCTGATCTGTAGATGATTATTACCATTTCTTACCTTTCCCTTGAAGAAAACGCTTAGTACATCTTAAGAGTTTTAGATTCTACCTCAACTATATCATGTTAGCAACAAAAGTGGGCTGAGAATCCAGCATTGTCTGTGCAGGCCACTGGATTGAAGGTAGACACACCCTGGCTATGTTCTAGGTGCTTAGTAAGTTCTTAACAATTGATCAAATAGAATAACTAAACTGGTAGGATGCATGGCTAGACCATTAATCCAAAAGTTCTTTTTATCTTCAATCCCTCTCAATTCATGCTTAAAGATGACAACTTTTCTGTTTTCCAGAGAGATGGTTGCCCAAAGATTGTCAATTTGGGAAGCTCTAAGACAGATCTCTTCTATGAACGCAAAAAATACGGCTTCAAGAAGAGGTGATGGGTGGGCGGCCCCTTTCTCCCCCCGCCCCATCAAGCTGCTGCAGCTGCCAGAAAAGACGCCTACTACTGCCAGCAGAAAGGGAGCGGAGCGCGGACCGGCAACCCGAATCCCCCACGGCACCCCGGCAGCTTTCTACCCTCCTCCTCGCACCAGATAACGGGGTAGGAATGGAAAAGGCTTCTTCACAGAGCATTCGGCAGACTGTATCACAGAAAAAAATGGTAGATGAATTCATGGTTTTTTTTGAATTAAAGAAGCAAGAGTCTGTTTTCCACATTGATAAGTTCTCTCCACACTAACAGCTTCTAAAATAGGAATAACATTTCAGTCTTTGAGGAGTTGGTTGTGAAGCTACACGCAGTGGAAAAGCGTCTTACAGCAGCTCTGATGGCATGTGTCCTTGAAGCATCTGCAGTGTGGTAGGGAGCTCTCAGAACAATAAATGCGGACATTTTGATCTTGTAACACCAGGTAGTGCTGGTTCATGTTATTTTTCTTCTAAAAAATTGGAAACCCTTTCTGTTGTATTTAATAAAGTAGGTGTTTATTTTCTGGTCGTCAGTCACCATCCCAATTTATCTCCAGGTATTTGTGATTCAAAATAGAGGTATTGGGATTCATAGAACACCTCGCCCTCTTATTTCTACTGGAAGGAATTCACAACCATCCATGCCTTTGATTATGGGGAAACTTAAAGTCATTTTTAGAAGCTATTTTTATCCTTCCTGCCCAACTGTAATTTTGAACTAAAGAGACAGCTTCCAATAATGGGGAATGGAATGAGACAATGCATTCAAATCAATGAGTCAGGAGAACTGAACTGAATTGCATTGTTTCATAAAATACATATATACTCAAATATTTTTTAAAGTAAATGAACAAATTAAGGGCAAATTCAGACATACTTTTACGCAAACTCATCTGTCTGTGCTTTGTGCTTGCCAGAGGTGATAGCAGGTTACCCTGAGTAGGCACATAGTAATTTGAGAAGTCTGATCAAGCAGGCCTTTTGACACCATGAATTTGAAAAAGGTTTCGGAGTCCTGAGGACCCAAGGGGCTTGGCTAAGATCATGTGGAAACTTGGTGACAAAGCCAAGGAAAGAAATGAGAGTCTTCTGACTTCTTGTCAAGAGTTTTGGCTTGGATCAACAAAACTCTTATTTGTGATGTGCCAAGTGTCCAAAATTGAATGAAGATAACCTCTGCCTTCAGGGATTTAATAAAGGTGTCTGCCAGAAACAGGGAGTTCCAGTATAACCCAGAGGATGCACAAAGGAAGGGTTCTTGGCCCAGCTTGGGGGCACCTCAGGAAGGCGTTGGAAGGTCATGGCCGCAGGGCTAAAGATAATCCTTGAGGCTTCCGCACCTCCTTTCCTGCCACCCCCACTCCCCACACTGCAGTCCCGGGGGCTCCTTTCAGTTCCCAGCCCGCTGCTTTCCTTTCGACCTCAGCGCTTCTTACCTGTTAACCCTTCTCTAATGCTCGGATACTCTTGCTGACTTCTACTCCTCTTTCAGACTAGCTAAAGATTTCCTCAAAGATGCCTCTCCCGACTCCCAATCTAAGTTCCCCTTCTACTCCTACGTAGCACCATAAGCATTTTGTTTATAGCGTTTGGTAATTATTGTCAGCTGCTAGGCTGTATTCTATGATGGCAGGAACCAGGAACCAAGGATTTTCCACCATGCAGAAAGCAGGTGCTTAGTAGTGAAAATTGAAGTCAAAGAAACCATTTAATAAATTGGGCTTTGAAGCATATGTTGGAACTTACAGGAAAATGAAGTAGGCTGGGCAAATAAGAGCATTCATTTGTGGCAGAGGCAACAGTCTGAACAGGGTGATGTGTTTGGGAGGCTCTCTAAGCAGTTCTGAAGCATCAGGTGAGGGCCATGGTATGTCAGAAGAATTGTAGAGAACATCATTTTCAGATTGGAATTTGTCGCATATTGTATAGTAACTGCGACAAATTCGAAAACCCAATCAGTAACGATTCTATGGTAACTTAGTTTTAATGCGCAATTTACGTCAAAATGTATTGCCAAAAAACATTGTTTTTAAAATTTGCTCATTAACCTCCCAGGTCCACATAACATCTTGCATCTACAAGTGTTTCAAAAGCTGCGCTCCATCAGCCTCAGTGTATATGCCTCTAAAAGATCTTGCAAGGGAACTTAAGACCAACACCCAGTAGGATGTCAAAGGGCATACTCCCTCCACACTGGATAGCCATGGGGCACATGGCTCAGTGTGTTCCTCTGAACTCTACTCCTCTGTCACCTAATTTCATAATCTATTCTTGGTTTGCTTTATTTCAGAGATCAAGAGAACAATACAATACAATGAATGAGTTGAGAACACCTGAGATAGTTTTTAATTTAATTGTTGTCTTCCTTGGACTTGGGAATTATTTCTTTTCAGTTGCAAAAATTGGGATAATGATGGTACCAAATTCTGTGGGAAAAACCGCTTACAAGCTGAATTTTAACCTTTAACAGTATACAGATCTGTGAAGAGAATTAGAATAATGATGTGTGCATGGCCCTGAAAAATCAGAATGGTCTTTAAAGTTGCTGGCGTTTTTCCTCCATTGTTGAAATCACTACCTACATAGGTTTAGTTTAAATAATTGAACTCATCACAGCCAGCCTGAGAAAGCAGTTCCCTTTTCTGAATGTGATTATTGTTAAGTATTCGGTTCTAAGTTCTAGAAAGGGGTGTCTTGCTTCCAGCTTCTCAAGTACAGCGTACACACATGTTAATTTAATCTCCTTTATATTGTGCACTGATTACATTATTCTTGCTCCCCCCCCCAAAAAAGTATGAGAAATGTGTGGGCTTTATAATCAGACCTGTATTTGACTTCTGTTCTGCTGTTGACCTTTAGTGAGTCATTTAGCCTCTCTGCTTTCTTACCTATTAAATAAGGTAACAGTACTACCTCTTCAGGTTGTAGGATTAAATTTGACCTTGTAAATGCCTGACCTTACTGGAAGGCTTTACATAAGTAGTAGTTCTTTTACGGTGGGTCCCTGCTTCATAAACATTTAAGTCCCGTCATTGAATGTCCTCCAAATGTTTCCCTCTCTCCCCCTACCTACAAGGTGTTCCTCTACTCACTTTTCTCTACTTTTCATGAAGCGGTTGAAGGGACATTCATTGTACACTCCCTGTTTTCTTGGCTCTGTTTCCCTTTGTTTGAAATACCTCCCACCTTCACATCAGCCAGCCAACTTGGTACCTCTTCCTTCTAAGCTCCTGACATCTCATAAATGCTTCCAGATGCACCATACCCCACAATAGTCTCTCAGACTATTTTCATGCCAAGTACATACATGTAACAAGTTTCATGAAACAATATTTACTGTGTGTATTGCACTTTGATATTTTTCATTTTATTTCATTCTAAAGATTCTGCTGAAATCCATTAAACAAAGTGATCTTATGGCCCCACTAATGGATCACGATCCAGAGTTTAGAAACAATGAACCAGATCATAAGATCCTTGGGCTCCTTTTGCCTCTCCATCCACTACAATGCATACAACGGACAGCCATTCACTTACTTATTACATTGAGCTGAAAAAAGCACAAACTCAGGAGTTTAGGTAATAGAATTGATTGAAAAGGAAGGGGTGTAAGAATAGCCCAAACATGATGATAAACGGTACATGACCCTTGGCCTCCATGTCTGGGAGACAGTAGGGATAGGTAGGGACCTTAGGGGAACCAGAGCACAGGTCCTGTCTTAAAGGAGATGGCTGAACAATTTGCCAGCTTGAAGACTCAGTGTTACGAGATTGAATTTAGGACAAATTAAGATTTTTATGCAATCTCCCAATTTTTAAATGTCAACTTGTTTAAAAAATGTTAATGTGTCAGTCTATGCCAGGACAATACATCCACCAGATATGGACCCTGGCCTTCCAGTTAGCAGTTTCTAAATTAAGACAGTTAACTTCCCAGGAAATTAAACTGAGCTGAGTAAATTTCAGAGACGCTATATGTCACTCTGTTCTGACCTGTAGCTCTTTAATAGTAGTTTGACGCTAGAACATAAAAATGAAAGATCCTTTCCCTTGGTTGGAATTTTCCTGCCTTAAAATAAAAAAGAGGGGACACCAAAAAAAAGGACTTTAATTCCCATCTAATTCCAGTTAATTCAATTCCTTATCAATTTTATTCCCAGTGGTCTCTACCAAGACTAAAATGTTACTTTCTTTGAACACTACAGTTTTAGTGTCTTAGCAAAAGACAGGTTTGTTCACTTAAGTTGTTTACTAGAATTTACTCACATCAGTTGTGATGAATAAACAGCGAATCGTTTGTCCTCTATCCAATGACCTCCAAAAGCAGTTTCTGTTGTAGCTCTTTGCTCCTAAGAAACTACAAAATTTCTCATCCCAGCATTTGTATATGACAGTGACTCACTCCTGAGAGCTAATTGGGACTAATTATGACCAGCCTGACTTGTCACAACAACAAAACATTTGGCATAACTTGCTTACTCTCAGGGGATCTGCTCCCACCCTCTCCCCTCGGCACATGCTTACTTCTGAAGCTCACCATTTTTAAAACGTGGTGTGTGCCTTTCACGAATGATTATTCAAAATGGAAAGGGACTCTTGGAATGATTGAGTAGGGATTCAGCTCACAAGCCCTAGCAAGACGAAATTACGTTGGGGAGAGAAAAAAGCCTTCCTCACTACATCATAAATGGAGACATCAGCAGTTAAGAAGGGTGATTACCTTTTCTTCTATTTTATCTTCCTATTTACATGCTAACCCTTTACCCAGAACTCCCATTCGCCAAGAAGGCTGGATTTCTCAGTGTTTTTGTAGTAAGGTTGCTGAGGGCTGCCGTGTGTCCAGTACTGCAGGGAAGATTTGAATGAAAGCACGAATACAAAAATTCATCATCCTTTCAGGGATCTGTCTGCCCTCCGTCAGCCTGCATGCAGTGGTAGGAGCCTCAATCCTTTATTTGCTGATAACGGATTCCATCCCCCAACCTGAGATGTCCTAGGAGAATTCCCTTCAGCTCATTCTCACGTTTCTCATCATTCTGCCTTGCAAGGTTTCTTCTTAGGGAATGCATACGGTACTAAGCAAAGGCTATGTAGGATATAATTTGGCCAGAATGGTTACCTTTAAATTAAGTCGAGCAACAACTTGAGCCAGGCTTTACGTTAACAATATCAAGTTTATTCCCCGCATGATCTCCATTTTATGGATGAGAAAGCAGGTTTGACGATGGAAAGAGATTTGTTGGCTTTAAATTACGATAACATGGTTAGGGGTAGTGGCAGAATTGGGATTCAAACCCACCTAATTTCTATGGCTGCCTCTAATAAATTACTACAAATACCAGCAGCCCTTGCAAAGCTCGCTGTGTAAACGCTCGCTTATCCTCCCCAAGGCCTGGTTCCTGGGCTCCTGGCCCCCAACCTTAGTCCTAGCGGTTGGACCGAAAACCCAATCAGATGCCGCCTCACCCCTCTCCCCGACCAATGGGAAGGCTGTTGCTAACACTGGTTATATTTTTAGCTCTTCAGTGCTCTGGAACCCCGTGGGTCGGC